GGAACCAGTGGGGGCCTGAGTGGCACAGACAGGACAGGGGATTGAAGTACTGAGAGACTAACACATTGTTGGTTTTGGTCATTTTATGATCATTGTTAACAAAAAGAAAAACAGAAAATGCCAGCCTTAACCTGTAGCATGTTTTCGTGACATTAACATACATACCCTGCATGTATGTATGTGTGTGTGTGTGCAGGCTACCGTGACACTGGTGGAGGATACTCAGGATACCATCAGAATTCATATTACACACCAGCTCATACAGCATCTTATACAGGTGGACTGACAGAGGAAGAGCAGTTAGAGATGGCCATCCAAAACAGTCTCAATGACAGAGGTAAGTGGAGAGAGGGAGAGTACGCAGAGTTCTTAAACCTTTGCCCATTTCAGAACCCCTGAAGTGAAAATATCTAATAATACTTTGCTTTGTAGGACAACCCATCCAGAGAGGAGCTGCTCCTCCTTATGGTTTCCACCTGACTGAGGAGCAGAGAGCAGAGGAAATGAGGTGGAGGAGACTGAGGAGGTTTGACAGGTAAAGTGCCAGGCGACGAAGGGGAAGAGGATGACAAGACACAAGAAGCCTGGTCCAAACTCCACAGGCTGAGCAACAGAAGGTCTAACCACACAGTCTGACAGATTAAACACTTCTTATACTGTGTGGTCCTTTGTGATAACATGCTTTGAGCAATACCAAAGAGTTCAAGTTAGCTATGGAAAGCCACTTTAATTTGTTGTTGACAGGTTAGATTACTTATCTGATCTGTAGCTTCTCATCTTGGGAGTTAAGGTGAAAGTTAAGGGATATTTCTAACATTTCTCATCTTAGTTTCTATTACACCACTTGAAGTTGTGAAACGGGTATAAGACATTATGTTAGATGCCTTAGAATGTTTCAAAACTGAAATTTGCTAAATGTACACCATATAATAACCTGTGTAGTTAAAGAATCATGATAGTTGTCAAACCTGTCTGGTCTAGTCTAAACTAAGTGCAGTGGTTTCTGATCTACACTGACCTTGTGTGGTCTAGAGTCTAGACTGAGAGAAAGTTGTGATATCTGCCTTTTTCTGGTAGTTTGTTTAAGGTGAAACTTTTTGCAGATGCAAATGAAATAAGTACAATATTTTTGTGCCATGACAGGTAAAATCAGAACAGGTCAGTATTTTTCATAATAGATTCAAGTAATAGATGGCAACAAAACCCACAAGATGCTTTTGGCTCTCTCCGTGCACTTCATAAACATGGTGCCATGCTGTGGTCTGCACTATTAGCCTACTACCAAAGCTGATGAATGCTGTTTATATGTACATAAAATTGTTCTGGTTTCATGAAGGCCCAGTCAACATCTGTAATAAATGTTCTTTTTTTTTAATCAAACATTATTGCTAATATTCCTGTTCTTGAATTGGAGCGATGTCATCATGTATTATAAGTGACGTTAATGATCACCAAATGTACAATCTGGTTTTCTCCTGGAGTAAGACTTAATGTAATATGTAATTTCTTTAACAATCCCAGCACCACCGTGTCAACTTTCTGAGACATCTCCAAGTGAGAGTGACACTGTCTGTAGGCAAAGTCACAAAGCGAAGTCTAAGAAGTATATTGCTGCCTCTGATCCCTCTAAAGCCCTGAGGCATGATGGGAAGTAGGGCAGCTTAAATTAGAGCCAAGAACCCCAACAAGTCACACGAGTCCAAATGGGTCTGAAACCATGGCCCAGTTGATACAATCAAGCTGTAGACCCAGTCCCCAGTGTGGCGTATCAAGGAGGGAGAAAGGGTGAAAAGGTTGTGCATTAAATAGCCACACCCAGCGTCACAGTAGGTGGATGTGTAACTGTTCTGACATCAGAAGGATATAACAGTTTGCATAGTTTGATTTTGTGCGCTGTCATGGAGAGCATGGGAGCTGAGTGTAGCACAGGGCCCTGGCAGAACATGAATGGGGGAGGCTGAGGTGTGATTGAGGAGATGACAGGATGGGGACAGGGATGACACACGCTGAACAGATGTTTCCATCTCTCTGTACGTGTAACATGGCTGCACATTAAAGGTGGTACTTGGCATGTTGGTGGTTTAGTCTTTTTCTGCATCAGTTGTGTCAGGGAAGTTGTATTATCTCTTATCACACCTCTGGTGCTACTGACTGATTCTGAGAAGAGCTCCACCTGCTGTGATGCTCTCACTGAGCATTAGAGACAAAAGTGTGAGAAATGTTCCCCTCCTGGTTCAAGCATGGAGACTGAGTTGAGTTCAGTGAAAATGATCAGCCAAAAACTAAAGTATACAGGATTTATATCCTTTAACTGAAACCACTCAAGGACCCTTTCATGAGTGATTCTGGTAGTTAAAGAAATATGTTACCTTGGAAGAAAAATACAAACTGGAAGCCTGGAAGGAACCTCTCTCATCTGTTAAATGGCTTAAAGGCTCATTTTAAAGTGAACTGTAGGATGAACTACAATTTCTCAGAGTTAGGGCTCTATTTATATAGCTGGGCTGAAAACTTTGTAGTAACCTCTTGGCTTTCTGACTGAGATTAGCAGAGGCCTAACACCCCACTGCCATGTGCTGCATACCCACACTGATCCTTTGGAATAAAAACACCCTCCACTCAATCCAACGTGAAGGTCAGATTGTCTCTGCGTCTTCTAAAACCGGCTGAGATTACAATAGACTCCCAAGTGGCCAGTAAATGTACCACTGCATAAATGTACCAAGCTCTTTGGAGCCCAAAGTTTTTACCCCCCCCCCCCCACTGTGCAGTGATTAACTCCATCATACTCAAATCCTGCTCAGTGACTCGAAGGCTCATGGAGAATGGTATTAACTAGTAGAGGTCCAGGGCTAATATTTAGAACAGTTTTATCACACATGCCAAAGTTTCATACTGGTGTTGATGGCAAAGAAACTTGCCACACTATTTATAGTCTAGCCCAACCTCACCCTCCCACTTATAATTATCCTGCTGACTTTGTTTTTTACCCCCCCCCCTGTTCTTCCCTGCCCCACAGTAGAACTTAATGGAACTTCGTGTTTCACTGTACATCAGCCAGAATAACCACAGTCACTATAACAATAACACTGATAAAGATTTAAGTTGTCATGCCTTAAGGGGTTCAACAGTCCCATGACATAGAAACACTGACAAAAAGTAGCAGAGGTTCTTTAGATGCAATAAAAATCTATTTATTCCAAAAGCTGATGCCAAAAATTGTGAAAACTGTATTTTGTTAAAAATATATTGTTTCACGTGTTAGATTATATGTTTGTGTGACAGACATGCACCCATCATATTCCAGGTGTGTTTGATTAGCTGCATCTGTCTGTTCACCTGCCAAACTGGATCCAAGTCCCTACTTCCAGGGGCAGAGAGAGAGAGAGTACGTATGTAGCGTCTGTCAAAATCGGTTGCTAGGCAGCGTCACCCACTGATTTATGGTGCCTCTTGCTTCCGAGCCAAACCATGTATCAGTTGGATGGTATACAATGATCTTTCTAAACTGTCTAATCAATTCAGTTATCACAGATGGACTCTATTGAAAGGTTAAAACAAACAGAATGCCTATGACTACACTTTGGAGAGCTACATCTAAGGGCTTTTTTAAAATAAATATGCAAAACAATTCTAAAACCATATTTTCAGTTAGTGAGTGGGTAACCGAGAGAACAAAAGAGGCTGAAAAGCGATGGTGCATGATGCCATGGTGGCCATATTTCTGCCTGACAGGTATCAGTTATTGTTTTGGTAGTCAGGCAGTGCACGTTGCAGTGCGTGTTGTGTTTTGGAGGGAAGTCAGATTGAAACGGTAGGATTTCTTCGGTTGTCTACTTTGAAAATCGAGCTTCCTCTTGCTTGTTTCTACAGGATTACCATCCCTGCCTTCAATAAAACTCAGTAGGTGATAATGAAAACACCTTGATTTAGGCAAACGTAGTGCACATTCCACGATAGTTAGATAAACATAAACACTGACAAACATCCTACTGCCAGCCTCTGAGGTTTAACCCTACTCCATGGATGGAATTTGCTCAAGTGACCTACTAGCTCCTCTTCAGCAACTTGAGGGGTTGACATGAGTACTTGAGACTATCACTTTAACCCCTTACACAAATATCAAGCCAATCTAATTTTTTAAACTGGTTATCCTCTGTGTTGCTGTCTCTTCCTCTTACATTTCTTTCTCTTGTTCCCTTGTTTCCTGCATCTCAGCATGTCTCTCTCTACTTCTTTAGGAATTTTTCTCTTTCAGTTTCGATTCCTCCCCAGTGTCTGTGCTCTCCTCCCACCTTTTCTAAAACTCTTTTTCTTTTTTCTTTCCATATGCCTCCTTGTCTGCATCTCACTGATGCATTCTCTCTTCTTCCTTGATGTTTATTTCTGCTTGTCTCCCGATTTGTCTCATAGAATCTAGTGCTGGTTTTGATCTCACCATTCTTCTCTCTCTCCCACACAGACTGTCTCTCTCCTCCTGGGTTGCCTACAGATCCTTGGCATGTCTCAGTAAGCTGCAGAGTTAGCAAGCTCCTTAATTCATACTTGTTATCTAGGTCACCCATTTCTGCACAAACTCACACATTTTAATGGTGTGAAATGAAGTGCTGTAAAGAGTTTCACCACGTCAGTTCAACATTACACTTGCCAGCATGTGATTCTTTCTCCACTGTAGCTCTATAAATCTAACTCTTGCAACTTCAACACATTTTGCGTTAAAGGACAAGTCCAGCCATTTTCTATATTAATGTGTCACAGGCTGAGAAATGCTGGAGTGTTCTTTGAAAGCCCTCAGACTTAACTGTGAGTTTTTTCTTAATTGAGTTGCAGCTATACTTCACAAATGCAGCAGAAGAAACACCAAAGCTCATTTACTCATTTACTAAGTACTGTATGGGAAGTACAATTTTAAGGCATATTGACCATGTGGTGCAACTTCAGAGGAAGATTACAGTATGAACCTTTTATTCCAGAACATGCCCTCTTAAATCTTCAGAGCCCCACAACAAGCAGCACCATTCTCCAGACCTAACCTCCCTTTGACACAAAGGATCCCCGAACCCTGTCCTCACCCAAGCAGAGAGCAGATATGTGGCTTGACACAGCATCTGCATTGTATTTGCTGAGGTTAAGCCAAACTGTAGATGAAATGTTCTCTTTTCCCTGCAGGTAAAACTGATGCAAAGGAACACCATGTGAAAAAATTATTTAATGCAGGATGATGTTATGGTAGTACTAGCAAAGCTCAGGTTAATGACATTTTTGCACAGAATAGTCCATTTTAAACATTTCCCCACTGCACTGACTTCTATGGTGAGTAAATAATAGTGAAACAACTATGAAAATCCTTTGCAAAATGCCTCCAGTCACTCCTAATGGATCGAGCACCCCACTGTGGGAGCCATGTAAAATATTTCAATGTTCTGTAATTGTCGATAATTGGTTGCCAAAGAGCAGACACCCCACCCACCCTCCTACCCACCTCCCATGACTTGCTGAGAGATAAAACGTCGCCGGTTCCAGTCCACGTTTTCCCCCGCGCCCTTATTAAGTGCTGTATACGTTTTAAAGAGAATTAGAGGCAATAACAGGGCACAACAAACAAGAATGGCGTGCACAATAACAGGAAACATTGGTATGTGCTGACGAGTGAGGGAAAATGTTTAAAAAACGAGAAATCAAGGCGTATTTCTGAGCTGCCGCTGCTGCTGCGTTCCCGGAGCATCTGTACCTCGGCGGAGGATGCTGCATCTCATGAACTGCCGCTATCTACTCATAATCCGTGCACTCTCCTCAGCTGCATCCCACCGTGATTATTACAACGTGTGACGGCTGGAGGGTGATGCGAGAGGAGGCTTTCGGGGAGCACAAAGGCCAACTCAATAGGTTTCCCTCAGCAAATGCGAGGATTTTTCTGCGCGCATTCCTCATCAGTCGCATCGCTGCCGACTTCTGTTAGATGCACAGGAGGGAAAAGAGAGACTTGATCATCTCCTCATTGTTGGATCATTTAGGAGTGTCTGTTGCTCAAGCTCGCAAAATACTGGTGTCTTTGTCTTGCATATTCTATGCATGATCTTAAAATCACGCTGGAAGTGGGGGTGACGCGGATGAAAGCCGATGGCCAGGTGCCCCAGATTTCTTCAGAAGGGGGATGCAACCTAAAATAACCCCGGTGCCAGATGGTAAGAGCAGATTTTTGATCAGAAATCAGTGCAATGGTTCAGAACTGCAGTAACGTTTCTGTGCGTCTTTGCTATTCCTCTATGATGTCTGTCGGTTTAATGCATGTATTACATATTTTTTCGCAGATGACATATGAATTTGATTTGCATGTGTGATGCTATTAAACTGTCAACAAATCCAGCAGACGTCTATAAAATAAAATGGATTTTATTTTTGGTCAGTTGTGGTCGGTAGGACACGGGGAGTCTACAGTCATTGAACTACTTACTGGTGTGTTTCAGTCCAGGAATGTTTTTTAAAAAGTGTCTGCCTTAGAGTTCTAGTAATATATGATATATAATATGATCCACTGTATTCATTTGGACTTGCATGAAAGACATACCAATAATCATGTACAACAACCTGTGCAACCATTATAAACAATAACAGAAGAACTACTATGGAGCCTGTTGAAGCACCCAGTATAAACTGGTGTGGCACTTTTTTCACAGCCAAATGTCTGTGACCATCACACACAATATCTGATGAACCAGTCTGCTGCAAATCAAAAGGATTGCTTTCACATTAATGATTTCCTCTTGCATTGCTATTGGAGTACAGTTGCAGAAACATTTTATGGTCCAGAAAACCTCTAAACAGACTCTGATAACCTGTATTTATTGGCCAATGAGAAATACCACCAAACCTGTTTATATCAGTCACAGCTGTTAACACTGAGGATTGTCTACCATTATTTTTTGTAGCAGTACCAAATGTTTGCATAAGACTTTGGCGACAACACACTGAAATCCTGCGAGGTCACCATTTATGACCAGCACTGTAGAGATTCCAGGAATAAACTGGCCACCACTACTTTGATCTTAAAGGGTTGGCACCTAAAGATCATGAATATCCACTCCTCCCATGTGCCTGGTTGTAAAGAGTGGATGGTTTGAGGTTGCTATATGCACCCCAACATGTGTTAGAGGCAACCCATTGAGGATGCCAGGCTCTAAATCCTATAGCCACAGCAACCTGGCTTTCCCATTATGAACTACCTGAAGCTGTGGCGTTCATAGGAATCATGTTCTCATCAACTGACAGCCATTCACACTGAATGGGAGAATTTTGTATGAGCTCCTGAAAGATGGGGCCTCAGTTTGAAGAGGTCATCACTAAGAGTGTGTTGTCCACACAATGGATGGAAGCCATGATTTCATCAAATCTATTTCTTCTCATACCATTGGAGACGCTGTTGTGGACATCACCACTGAGTGACCAGCGCGAATGGTGCTTGGGCACAGTACTATATCCGTGGTGAGTTCACCATAGAACACCAATAGTTTCTTCCATTCCCCCCCAAAAAAGAGTTTGCCGCTGATCTGAACAGAGCAGAGGTTTGACATTTCCATGGTAAGCTCTCACAGATTGTGGGTACATTACTAAAACACAACCAACGGATTTGCGCTTGTCGATTTGAAACATAGTGCTACTGTTGGTTCATAAACAATATAATTAGGCAGACTACTTCTTGCTGCATTCTTTTTATCTTTTTGGATTTCCTGAAATGCCTGTTTTTGTTAACCAGCTCAGCTGCTGTGTCTTCTGTGTGAAGATGAGAACAAACGTGATCATGAAGCATCTTCAGATTTCCTCCCCCCGCATCTTATTGTGGGTTGTGGGTTGTGGTTGGTTCTCAGTTGCTGTTCAGTCTCCTCAAATTCATCACACTCAAATAGTGCTGCAGTGGAATTCAAGGTTTGTGATGGGAGTGATCTGTGTCCAGTAAAATCCAGGTCAGCTGTATCACTATCACAGTCACTTCAGTTTCACCCTTCTCTCTTTCTGGGACTCCTATTGTACTGCTAACTGCAAACCCTGGAAGGTTCTCTGATTTCATAACTACCTGCGGCCCTGTGCACGTAGTGGAGCTTCCTGGTTGGTCAGGTGTTTCACATAGTGAGATACCAGGTGAGGTTTGAAAGAGAACTCTTTGACTATGCAAAAAATAACTTTAAAAAAAACTTAACTGTCTTTTATGTTGCCACGTTTTAATGCTAGCGGGATCAGGCAATACATGTATATGGTGAGATGTATTAGGCTTTATTTTCATTTATACACTAAAGTATAATGGAACAAACTGTCACAGCTATGCTCAGAGCGATTAATTAACCCGGTTGCTGATTTCTCCCCGCAGTTTACCCCAGCTCCTACCCAGAGGGACTGAGTCTGTAACACGGTCGACTTCTTTGGAGTCCTGTCTTCCTACCACTCGGTGACTTTTAATGGCTTTTGTGTTCAGAAGATGGAGAGTTTTACTGGTGCTAATCGTGCTTGCTGTTGGCGGGCTCATGAATTTTTGGACCAAGTGCAGCACACGCAGCGTCCAAGTCGCCGGTCCGGACGCGCCGGCTGACGTGAAGAGGCCCCGGGGCAACGTGACGGCGCAGGGGCCCAGCGTCAGCCATGAGGTGCTGCTGAAGAGGCTGAGCTCGCTGGAGGACGTGGTGTACAGGCAGCTGAACGGTAAAGAGCAGTGTAACATTGAAACTGAAATAACATGTCAGCCAGATTCCTCTCGACCACTGTGCTAAAGAAGGAAAAGTCAATGCTGTCTGAGTAAAGCGCCGAAGAAGTCTGTGCACACCTGTGTCACGTTATTTCAGCCACTTTAGGCACATTTGACAGCATAATGATCTGTGCTAGAAGATCTAGGTTCACTTTACTGACCCTTTGAAGAAAATGTCATCAGCTGGTGAGGATATAATAGTTAACTTCTGCAGCTTGGTGGCCAGGGTGGCTTTGTTCAACAATTTGATTTGGCTACCATTCGCACCACAATAATGCGAGGTTATCCAAAATTGATGAAAAACAATTAAACTTGCTTTACTGTCTATGTGTAATGTTTTGACCCTTTTAACTTTTTAGTTAAATTCAGGTTTAAAATTCAAAGGCACATCATTGTTTCCTAAAAGGCTTTTTTTAATGTCCTAAAACACTAGTTTATTGGTTGCCATGTAGGTACAATGCTTGTCCTCCACTAGGGAGGTCGGTGTCAGCTGCAGAGCAGGAGCTCTTTCTAGAGATTTGGTGCCTTGAGGACACTCCAGCAGGATGTTGGCTTGTTTGAATAGATCTCATCACACTCTGTACCACCCACAAATATATCAAGTCACACCAAGAATCTTATTTTATCCTTAATTTGAAACGGTGAACACCTTGATTCTTATTTAGCAGCTTGCAACCAAGAAAGTGAATGTTCTTGTTTCATTTGCAAATGTTTGGTTTAAGTTATTTAATCTCTAAGGACACAAATGAATGACCTCACTAGGTAGATAAGTGTAGGATCCTCTCTGGAAGAGGTCTACTTATTTGAAAAAACACATCCCTGTATTCAACCTACTCTGGTGAATCTGTGCCAGCATATGTCCCAATGTGAATTCATCTCAGACGTTCACCTGTTTTGACAACAAACTGTATGTTCATGTGAGGTAGGAGCTGTGATGGGGAGGCAGGCTATCAGCTGTAAGCCACAGGTCGTGTTACCAAGAAGAGAGTGACTCATCCAGTCGTACGGATCTGACATGCAATCTTGTGTTGTTCAACTCCCCCAGGTCTGTCCAAATCCCTGGGTCTGATCGAGGGCTTTGGGGGTGGGGATAAAGGCAGCCTCCCTGCCACACTGTCGCCAGCTGAGGAGAGCGATGCCAAACACCTGAGGGAGAAGTACGGCTACAACGCCTACCTCAGTGATAGAATCTCTCTGGATCGGAACATACCGGACCACAGGCCCAACAAGTGAGTACATGTCAAATTTACATAAAACGTATTTGCCCATGTACCCCTAGAAGTAACCTACCATACACACAGTTTTTGGTTTGAGACCAATAAAATGTCTATGAATGGAATGGAATGCTCCTGACACTGTTTCTGTTTCACTGGGGGCTCATTTCTACATAAAAAAAAAAAAGCTCACATGCACATTGTTCACAATTTATGTGCATTATCCAGACAAGCTGGGACACAGCTTGAGAAGGCATGTTGCTCATGAAATGTTGAAATGGAGCATAGTCATAGCTCAGAGCACAGATGTCCCACTTGCATTAGTTAATTGGCATCAGCTGTTTCATTCATGCTTCACAGTAGCTGTGTGGCAATTGGTGGACACATCACGTCTGGTCATACCACAGGTGAACACTGCCCGCAGCAGTTAGAACCTGACACTTCTCACTATTACTGATTCGCTCATGCCAGCTCGCCTCCACCACCCCAACTTCCTTTGTGTGCTGCATGTTTGGTTTTGTTTTAACCAAGCGGTAATATTCATGTATGTTTCTGTCAAGGGGACTTCCAGCAGTGCAGTGCTCATTTTCAGGAGTGTCACCTGTCTGTGCCTTTTAAGTTCTCTCTGCTTCTTAATCACATAATTGATGAAGTTGTACTATCAGGGCGGCTATTGATCTGCAGACATGCTTGCATGGGCACATGTGCAACCACACGTGCGTGCGCACACAGTGTGACTTACATTAATTTCCTATAGACTTGTCATAACCTTAACCATAACCACTACTTACCTTTGCCTAACCCTAACTCTGACCTTTAACCTAACACCTAAACTCACCCTAACCTTAAACCATGTTGTGACCCTGAAATTCAGTGATTTCCTCGTGGGGACCAGAGGGAAATCGGAAATGATCATGGTTTTTAAGATTCATAATTAAAGTCCTGTGAAGATCTAGGTTTATAAAATGTCAGGGTTTACTACCAAATAACCTGAAATGTTAAAATAGAAAACTAGATTCGGCAGCAGATATCCTCCACTTTCAGTTAATCCACCAACAACCATGTTGGCATCTATTTATGAGGATTTGCTGCCAAAAATACAGTAAAGTGTCATCTGATCTCATCAATTTCCATGAAAGGCTGGATTATTATAGACTTGCTTGTAATTAACATTTCATTTCACATGGGAAATGAGATTATTGTCAGGATGAGAAAAGGAGCCAAGTAAAGAAAAGTGTTTTTTCCTCCCATTCTTACTAAACTTGGAGCTAAAGCCTCACCCTGCCTCTTTCCTCTTCATTAGAGCTATTTAAACAAAACAGCAGTAAAAAGGCCTCCTATCTGCAGCAGACATGATGTGAATGGGCCAATTTGAGCGAGGGCATGATTATAGTTGAACAGGAAGCGACACATGGTTTGCCTTTCAGCCTAACCGAACAAGATGTCAGCGGCTCCACAGAGGTTGTTTGATCCTTTGCAGCAGTAACAGAGGATGGGTGGAGCACGGAAAGGTTTTATTGATGGTGTTACTTGTTTGTGTGTCACTGTGCAGATGCCGAAAAGTTAGCTACCCGAGAGACCTCCCGCAGATCTCCCTCATCTTCATCTTCGTCAACGAGGCTTTGTCGGTAATCCTGCGCTCAGTCCACTCAGCTGTCAATCACACGCCAGCTCACTTGCTCAAGGAGATTGTCCTGGTGGATGACAACAGTGATGATGGTAAGTAGAAATGAAAAAATTCCCTTCCTGAATCCCAAACCATCCTGATTTGAATCAGTCATATCTCAGGTAAAGTCCAGTGTAGAGACTGAGTTTGACACATGGCCTAAAAATAACAGCTAAAGTCTAGTATTCCTTCACCATCATGGTAGTAATTAATTTTATAGCAGCAGCAGTACTCAGTGGTACTGAAATTATAGATAAATATATTGATTTGCTGATATATCATGCAAGTATTGACGTAACATTTAAAATAAAACTAGTATCCAAAACAGTTTTATCAATTTCTATGTGGAAGGGTTTCAAAACATATCATCTTACTACAGTATAAATGATGGCTTAATCAAAGCATTTGTTTTGAAACACATGCGCAAAGATCAAGGCAGCAACCTCAATGTGTTGAGTGGGCTTGTAGTTTAGTGAAACTTTTTTAAATATGCAAATTCATAGAGCACAAAACAAACGCATCAGCATTAAATACCCATACTGTGTGAAACTGAGTGCACACACAAACACAGAGGTGAAATCACTGAGAGGTTCAGGATTGTTTCTTTTTTAAACAAACAAAACCCTGTGGCATCAGAAAATGAAAGTGACTGAAATTTTGGGGAAATATGCTTAATTTCTTTCTGGTGGAGCGTTAAATGAGAATATAATAGAACATCTGTATGGTAAATATGAAGCAGTAAATAGCCGGTCTGGCTCTGCCCGGCTGTAACAAAATCCACCTACCAACACCGCGAACAGTTCCCAGTTAGCGCCGTATTTGTTCTTTTTGTAATCCATACAACAATTTAGTGGGAAGTCAACGACTGTATGAGGAACTGTGGGCTTTGAGCAGTTGCTGGGCATCCAGCGTAAGTCTCGGCCAGAGACTGATGTGAGTGTGGTATACTGAATAACTTCTTACTCTTACTAACTAAATAGGCCATTTCCCAAAATGTCAAACTATTCCTTTAAGGCAGGGGTGCCCACACATTTTCGCCTTGTGAGCTACTTTTCAAATGACCAAGTCAAAATGATCGACCTACAGTTAAAATACTAAACATATATTTATTTATTTATACCTTATGTAAACACAATATATGCTGGTGCACCTTGCATAACTGCATGAACGTTAAGACACACTACAGTTCAGTACTTTTTTTTGGTCATTAGTTTACTCTGATGACGTGCACTGAATGGAATCAGCCAGGGCTGCATAGTCCGGACAGTAGCTGCTGGTAGCCAGCGTCCAGCAGACTTCCAAATGGTCATCAGTCATGGTGGAGCAGTATTTGGATTTAGTAATCTCTGTGTGAGAAAATGCTGACTCACATAAATAATGGAGTCAAATAATACAGTCAATGACACACTTCCTCATGTTTGGGTACTTTTCCTCTGTAAGTTCCAAAACGGTCCATTAGCCCTGGACTTCAGCTGAATGTCAGTCTGTAGTGTCGATATCTCATCCTCCACTCCAGACCAGTTCAGGTGAAACAGCGTTGCAATGTTTGATGCGAGTGAATCAACCTCAGTATCTTCCCTAAATGGGCAGCACATACTGTAAATGTAGAGACTGGCTCGAGTGAGGCAAAGTCTTGAAAGTGTTTGTCAAACTCTGACCGACAAATGTCGATCTGCTTTCTGTAGCGTGCAATGTCAAGTTGCGCACATGCTTTCCGTTGCGTCTCCAGCTCTGATGTGAGGTTTTGGAAGTTCTGCAAAATGTTTCATTTTTTTTGTTTGAAATCATTAACTAAGCTCATTATATTGACATGAGATCTACCGACACCTCCTTTGCAATCGACGTATTGGGCAGCCCTGCTTTAAGGCCTCTTTAAAATGACTAACAGTTACAATCTGTTCAGCAGAAAATCTAAACAAATAAGCCCGTCCATTATCATTGCCACATACAGTCCTAACATAATTACTTAGGTAGCATCCTAGACTCTGTTCCATTGTATAAGTATGGTTGTGTAGTTTGCCAGGTCTCAAACATAAAGACGGTCACACCTGTGTTACTGATACATTTCTCTGTAAAGTGTTGCTAATGAAACGACTTGTAATGGTGCTTTGTTGGCATGACAAGGTAATGAGTGTCTCCTTGACAAAAGCCTTGGTCATTGTGTTTGAAGAGCAAAATCTGCTGAGGGGACTGCTGTTGAATTTTTTTTTTTTTTCTTCTGTAGGGCAGACAGGTAGTTGGAGGTGGAGTGCTGCAATTGGATGTCACGGTAGTGATGTCCCCGTCTTATTTATTGAGCAGGGCTGCCAAGTCGGGCATTGTGAGATGAAGGGGAGAGAGAGAGAGAGAGACGGAGAGAGAGAGATGAGGAGAAGGGAAGGAGATGAAACCAGGCAGAGTGAAAAGGAGAGAGGATGTACAAGGCAAGGAGTGTTGGTGTTGGAGAGAGGAAGAGGGGATGACACTAAAAGAAAGTGTTGTGGTGTGAAGAAGTCTAGAGGGTTTGAAAATGGCAAAGTGAAAAGGAAAGAGGATGAATAAAAGTGAAATGGAGATGAAGAGGCATCAGAGGATGAAAGGAGAGGCTGAGAGAGCAAACCGGCCTATTAGAGAAAGTGGCAGAGGAAGAGAGGAAAGGATCAGAGGCAGTGAGGCTCTAGGATAAATGAGGTCGGACAGAGAGGAGGAGAGAAATGGTGCAGGGCGATTAGATATCCGGAAAAAGAGAGTAATCACACAGAACAGAAAGAAAAGACACATAATGAGGAAACAGGAAGAGAGAGATGAAATGGTTGAGGCTTTAAGGGCTTGTTCTACACTTGGTATGAAGGTCTGAAGGTCTTACTGGTGAAAGGACGTTGTACTCATGAAAAGCACAGAATCAGTATCATCCTTTAAAGTGTAAGAAACGTGGAGGGTGAGAGTGAAAGGAGAGAGAGACAGTTGAACTCCACCCCTCTCTCACTTGACACTGCTGCTTGGCTGAGAGCCAGCTATCCATCACCGAGGCGAAGAGATGACAGCAGTGCAAAGGGCAAAGCATGAAACCAAAACACACTATTCTCACTGCCAGCACGAGTCACCTCAGTCTCAGTGGCCTCACACTGACGCACAAGTGTGCATGAATAATGCAATGTGCATGTGTGTGAGAGAGCAAGAGAGAGAGAAGACACTGCATGGGAAATGTGATGTGATCAAGCATTTGTGTGAGTGAGACAGAAATAAAGGGAGGCAGAGAAAAAGAGCACAGAGCATGAGAAATGTGTTGCTGTTGGAGAGGGGAATTTTTAAGTGTGTGTGTGTGTGTTTGTGATGCAGAGGAAGAGGGGCTGTAAGTGTTTGGGTCCTGGGGGGGGACAAGGTTGATGAGTTGTTTGAGAGATCACTGCTCATTGGTTGGTGCTCAGGAAGCCGCAGTCTCCCCTTTCAAAACAGGAGACAGAGAGATTTCTGTCGTCCTTCTGTTTGTCTCTGCATCTGTGTGATTTGTTTATAGAAAAACTGATCACTTTGTACTTGTCTACCCTCTTGTGTGGCTGTTTACGTCAGTGTCGGCCTCTGGGCAATGTGCCGTTGACGATCATAGCTGTACGGAGTCGTGGGTTTGTACAGGCCACAAACAACGCTGGCTCACTTGTCAAACTAACGCATTTCATTTTGTGTGTAAAATGTGATGGCATTGTCTTAAATAGGAGCTTCAGGAAGGTGTTTTCTGGATTTAGTGCTCAATTTCGATCACATTTTACTAGTTGGCATTGATTTGGAGTCTGGAATGTTTTGTTATTAAACCATTGGTTGTACCCAGAGATTTTATAAATGCCATCATTTAAATGTAATTTTAACCACTTTGTAGAGTCCTAGTTTCTTAAACACCTTGGTATAATTCTTCCCGTAGCATACCCCAGACCCCATAACAAGCTGTGTGTTTTTAGCACTTCTGAAATTAGGAAGTTACAACTGGGCTTCTGTGTGTTGCTCAAAGACACATCAGCAGAAAGGATGATGATGTGCTTTCAGGTTTAAGGACAATCTCTAAAACCATCTCTGGCCTGTTTTGTTTGGTGTGTAATCTTTGTCTTGTGGGCTACAGAGCAGCTGAAAGCACCACTGGAGGAGTATGTGAACAAGCGCTACCCCGGCCTGGTGAAGATCGTGAGGAACCAGAAGAGAGAGGGACTGATTCGAGCCAGAATTGAGGGCTGGAAGGTGGCCACTGCCGAGGTGACGGGATTTTTTGATGCCCATGTGGAGTTCACACCATCCTGGTGAGTAAATCAGGCATGTGGGTGGGATGACTACTGATAGTGACTCTTACAGAATGTCTGGAATGAAAAACAGATCTCGTGAAAATGTCTTTGATCCCCTTGAATTTCAACTTCACATTCATGAATACTGGAATGCAATAAATCAAAACCACTGAGTTACAAGTCATGATAATAGTATAGACTCCTTCAAGAAAGCTACAGTGTACTTTTACAGAATAACTGAAGGAGAGGAAGAGGGATTGCAGAAGGAGCCTAGACGAGAAACAAAGCGGCATTTTCACACCTTAGGCATTTTAAGACCAGTTAGCAGGAGGGTAGTGCCTGCAGAATCAGGATTGAACAATACAGGACATATAGCTCAGTAAGTAAGCAATAAAATAAGAGTGCTGTTAAAAGTACATTTTAAGGATTTATTTGAAAGATGAAACTGATCTGACCGAGATGTAAACGCTTGACTGCTGGTTTTTTGTACCATCTTGCAAACACCTTGTTGTAGGTCTGTTTGTTGCCCAGTTCGTTGTGTACTTTAAAGTATGTACACAACCAAGGTCACTCAACATGAATAGGCACATGGCCTCCACAGCTGCACTGAGCTGAATCAGATACAATGAATAATAAAGTTGGTACAATTTGAGGGACTTTCTGACTGACGTGGGTGAGAGAGAGGAGATCCGTCTGTTTTTTAATTTGTGTATATGTGGTTTTATTTATGCTTTTGTTAGGGCTGAGCCAGTTCTTGCCAGGATAAAAGAGGACCACAAGAGGATCATCTTGCCCTCCATTGACAACATCAAGCATGAGACATTCGAGGTGGAGCGCTACGAGAACTCAGGCCATGGCTACAGCTGGGAGCTGTGGTGCATGTACATCAGCCCACCCAAGCAGTGGTGGGAAGAGGGGGACATGTCTGCTCCCATCAGGCAAGTCAACTTCACATATACAATTGTCGTGGCAAGAGTGAGATACCAACTAAATTAATTCAGACAAACCACTACAATTTAAAGGATCATTTAATATTACAATTATTCTAAATAGAGTAGCATTCAAACAGATAATCTTGTAGTTAGGAAACAGAGAACAGAGATCAGGGAACAGAGACTCCCCTCTTGCAATGGAATGAGTAAAGCCTAAGAAGGGTGTCAGGACACCAGTCAGTCAGGTCATTGGTTGCCAGTCCCGAGTCAGTCAGCCCCAGTCAGTCGCCGTCTCCCACCAGCCCTCCGAGGCCGGGCTGGTGGTACACTGCTCACGGTAGCATGATCCTCCTTCTCTCTCCTCTCCAGCTCACTCTTTTTTTATCAGCCGCCTCCCTTATGCTGTTGCGTCTATTTCTAAACCTAACTTCCTGTCTTCAGTTTTTAACCACTACACAATCACAATCTTAAATGAAGAACAAAAACCTCTGTATGTTTGCCAGAGGAACGTTTCACACTTCCAAGGACAGAGATTCATGTCTGTCCATAGAAATGCATAGGATCATTTTCACAATTTCTTTGGTGTAACTTAATATTTGGTAGCACATCCTTTGGACAAAATAACTGAAATCAATCCGTTCCTTATTGCAGTAATTTTCTGGGACACGTGGTGCATTATCTGACAGGAATGCAGGGGTGTCAGTATTTTTGCCTATGAATGTAACCACACAAAAATGTGTACTTGTGTATGCATATACAAAACCTTACAAAGTCACATTATAAAGCAAAATCCAAACAGACAAAACCACACATATCACATATGCATGTCCAAAGGCTCAGTGTCACTTGTTTTCATAGTTTTTTTTTGTTCTTCCCCTTCACAGGTCTCCCGCCATGATTGGCTGCTCCTTCGTAGCAAACCGCAACTACTTTGGCAAGCTTGGCCTGTTCGACTCTGGGATGGATGTCTATGGAGGAGAGAACATCGAACTGGGCATCAGGGTTTGTGTGTCACCCAGTTTCCTCTTGTTCCCGCTCTCTTTTCACCCTGTGGGTTTAAGTGGAACAGCAGCAGTGTAGCATGGCACCACTGATAAATGAGGCTCCATTAAGAGTCTTGGAAGACCAGTGTGTGTGCGGCTCTCAGCAGGGCAATAGAGATAAATAGGTTACACAGAGTGCGAAGGTGAGAGTTAGTTGCTGTACTTTTTGAGAGACTCTGCAGGGTTATTTTATCTTTTGGATAAAAGGTAAGGGACAGAATATCAAACATTTACCACCTCTCTGTGTCTATGTGTTTGTAAACCCTTCTAACAACTGGATTAACTAACTCTGATTAATCGCTTTGTAATTTCAGAAGGGTTGTAATGGCCCAGCCATAAAGCTGATGCCCAAATCTGCAGCACTTTACAAATTTCAGAAAAATGAATCAAGTGGCCCTCTAGTAGCCAACAATGTAGTAATGTAGCTTTAATTTCTCTATTCTGTAACATCATCTGCCTGCAGGTGTGGCTGTGTGGGGGCAGCATGGAGGTGCTGCCTTGCTCCAGGGTTGCTCACATGGAACGGTTGAAGAAACCCTACAACAGTAACATATCTTTCCACACACGGCGTAATGCTCTGCGTGTGGCTGAGGTCTGGATGGATGAGTACAAGTCCAACGTCTACCTGGCCTGGAACCTCCCCATGGAGGTGAGAGAGGGCTGTTGGTGCACCAATAATTACTGCAAAGAGGATGAAGTTTGTTCTCTTTTAACCAGGCAAATTTGACTTGGCTGATCATGCTAATTATTGTGCTCTTTTTTTATTTGTTTATGGCACATGTACCACTGAAGACAAACTATTCCAATTGCTACTTTTGCTCTTGCAGAACCATGGTATTGATTTTGGAGACATCTCTGAGAGGGTTGCTCTGAGAAAAAGTCTGCAGTGTAAGAGCTTTCAGTGGTACCTTGACAATGTTTACCCAGAAATGAGGAGGTACAACAACACGCTGCTCTATGGCGAGGTGAGTCTAGAGGCGAAAAAGGCCAGAAAGAAGCTTGTATATGTACATTTTGGTGCATTTTTAAAAATGCATGATACAGCTAGAAAAGAAATGGGGCTCAAAATGAACTTTTTCTGTCAGGGACCCAGAACTGCCCCGACTCCTAACTTTCTCCTTTCTAAACCTAACAGCCATAGTCCCTAATTAAATCCCTTTTACATTATAAATCTAATTTTATTTCACTAGCTTGCATCATGTCCACATGTTGCACTGAAAGTAACCTGGCTGGGACAGGAAGGAGTGTAGGGGCTGCTCTCAGAAAGTCCACAAGAACTTTTAAGATACGTGGGAAGGTTAGTGTACAAATGGTTAGTTTGGGCTTTTCAGTGTTATAGCAATAAGCCTACTAGCTCACTATAGTTAAGGTCAAAGTATTTATTTGTCATATACACAGTTAGGAAATGTGTTTCCCTGTACAATGAAATTCTTACTTTGCCGTCCACATGAATGCCACATAATACAAGTGAAAGAAAGTAGATGAGCAATAACAAATCTAAATAGGCAGTAACACAAATCTAAGACACTTTAAAGCAGCAAGTGAAAGAAGCACAATAAGACAAGAATATAATGCAGAGAGAATATATGCTACATGGGAGCCATGGAGTGCAAATACTCAGCAGTGAGTGTGCAACTATGCATATGCAAACTGAGAATGTAAATAGTACAGATGGGATTACATGAGGTAGATCGTGGGTCAGCTGTTTAGGAGTCTGATGGCAGAGAGTTTTTCAGTCTAGTGGTCCTGCATTTCACACTTCTGAGCCTCCGACCGGAGGGTAGAGGTATGAACGGTCCGTGCTGTGGGTGGGTGAGGTCCTTGAGGATGGAGGCAGCTTTCCTATGCACCCTGCGGTGGTAAATGCTCTGCAGAGAGGGCAGTGGAGTCCTGGTTAACACATACAGTGGATGGGAAATGGCAGGCAGAGCTGAAATGATTGCTTTTCTGTAAGTTTGATTGTTTAATGGGAGTTGTGTAATTATTCTTAGTGACTTTTTACTCACTGACGTCATGGTGGGTAGGCTACACTAACAAGCATAGATGTCAGCATGAGTAATAAGTTTCACTTAACCTGAGCTCTGTGCTATGTCTCTGCCTGTCAGATGCGTAACTCTGAAGCGAGCCACCTATGTATGGATCAAGGAATAAAGGAGAACCACACAGCCACCCTGCACCCCTGCCATGGATGGGATCCTAGACTTGTCTCTCGATGAATCGATATCATAGGACCTCGCAACCTAAATCATTTTTCATGTTTCTACACTGTGAAATGCTTACTCCCATAATGGTCTGAGATGCCAAATCTTTGTGCCCCAGGTGCTATTTTTATTGTCCCTGGGACACAAAGCACTGTTAATTTTGAGCCCTGGAAATAGGTGAAAGAAACGAACCCTGAAAGGATTTATAAAAAAAAATAAAAGCACTCAGAATAGTAGCTGGGTTATTGAAATAAAAATAATTTGGAAATTTTAATCTGCATCTGTACCACAATGCATATATAAGATCAAGTTAGATATTCTAATGCTTTTTTTTCTGAATACCTAAATTCTGTTCAAAAATATCACAAATTTCATACATTTTAAAGCTGTGGTTTTATTTCAGATGCGTAACTCTGAAGCGAGCCACCTATGTATGGATCAAGGAATAAAGGAGTAATAATCATAAGATTAGTTGACAAGAATGCTGCAAGTCTAGATTAAGTTAAAGAATTTCAGTCAAACTGCTTTTAGGCTAAAAGAAATTTACAATAAACATACTGTAGTGACAGGTCGTAGGATTACGAATGCAACGTTGAAGAGAGGTGTGTCTGATGTTCTAATGTATACGTCCAGACAAGAAAAGACAAAACACTGAAGTCTGTAAAGATGCAGCAACATAACTCGATGAAATCTCAGTTCAGCTGTTTCTCACACACACCATCTGCAGGCAACTGCATTCAGAAGTAGCAGTGGCCTCTAGGGAGCAGTGGTGGGTTTAAGCCCAAAGCACCTGACTTGCAGTATGTACGACAAACACATGACACAGTTGCAAATGCGGTGCAGATATTTTAACATGTCTATAGAGGTACTGTACAACACCAGAGCCCTTAAGGGAAAATCCAGACTCTCACTGGGTGGCCATGACAGTTGCAGACTTAGAGCTTGATCTTGCATCGTGAGCATAGAGGAATGTTTATTGGTAAATTAGAGGTACAATCTAACATCGGAATGTTAGCAAAATAGTAATAGTTTGTTTTGAGATTACAAAGTGCTTTCTTTTTCTAATTAATTCCTGGCAGGCTGGATGCTGCCCCCCATAGTCTGTCATTTAGATCTGTAGCTACAGGCCAGTGTAAATAACTTGCAGATTAAAGTCTGTACCTGTTTCTGCAGAAGTTTGAAAATCACAGTGCACCCTGTCTGTGCTCCCCCTCAGTTAGGGCGTTACACCAAAGAGGGTCAGCTGTTCCTGGGCACTCTGGGTAACACCGGGGATGACACTCGCTGTGTGGTGGATGATCAGATCAGCAGCTTTCCTCAGCTCCTCAACTGTGACAAAGTGACCAACCTGAAACAGAAGACATGGCATTTCTCTCAGGTGACTAGTAGAAAAAAAATAAAGTGGCTCTTTGTGTTTGTTTATAAGAAAAGCAAAACTGAATTGTTTGGTAAATGCTAAATAATGTAAACCTGCATATTAGAGGAAAACGGTGGCAATAAGTAACTGTGCTGAGATCAGACCTTTACCTTGTTAGGCTCAGATTATTTTGTGTAATTACCAAAAACTGAGCCCAGTCTTTAAGTACACTGGTTGGCAATCGAGTCCAGTACTGTAGAAGTAGGTCATAAAAGTAGGTCATTCTTTTCTGCATTAGACTTTTTTTTTTTTTTTGTGGCAATAGTTTTAGTAATGCCTCTAAACTCGTGGCAGTTTATTTAATTACTTCAAAATGTTAGTTCAACTATTATGTAGTTCCACTTTTGTGTTCATTACTAAGGAATCAAACACTATACCTGAGAACCATCAGGCCTGATTCTTGTCACAGTCACACACCACTCGCTCTCCTCCCACCCTGCAGAATGAGCCAATCATAAATCGAGCCACAGGACGCTGTCTGGAGGTGGTGCCGGCTAATGTTTACTTCGGCCACCTGCTGGTCCTGCAGGCCTGCTCCGGGCAGAGGTGGACCATCAAGAACACCATGAAGCAGTAATCAACTGGCCAATTTTACTGGGACCAATGACTAGAGCTGTCACCTGACCTGAGCTTGGCTGAGACACAGTGACAAGACAGAGGCTCCTTGACTTAAGAGGGTGATGGTTTAAAAGGGAAACAAATGTGTGAACAAATACAAGTGTTTGTTTTTGTTGTTGTTGTTTTTTACAAACATTCAAAATGAGGCAAGTTTTTGCATGAGGACTGTTTTTGTCTCCACCTGATTCTGACAAACATTTGATGTGACGTTGCCATAATTTCTGTCATCTTGTAGATTTATTAAGGTTGGAGATTTGATCATCCAAAACTGTTCTGTTCTGTTTTTTTTTTTTTTTTGTTGGGTAAAAAAAATAAGGATTGTTTTCATCCTCAGTGTTTGCATTATTTCATCTTAAGAGGTGTAAAAGGATAAAATACCTGGAATTATATTTTCAGCAATATGCACTGATGAGCGGTGGTGTTAATAAGCTTCATCAGTGGTTCTCATCTTTTGAGCTTAAGATAACTGAAGAGGAATTAATGATCTTCTTACAGAATTCTAGACACTAAATATAATGAAGAAATAGGCATTAACAATAAAGTTGACTGTATATTGGTGCTTTTTTGTAGTTATTGTAAATCTCAAAACTAATGTTGTTGAGGGCTACTGGGCTAAATCATGGACTTGTGCAGACGGTGGCAAATGAAAGGAAAACCTGAATATATGAGCAGTCTTCCAGGATGATCGTGGGCCCCATCCACAGGTCATGAGGGGTCAGTATATGAACATGATGTTAATCATATACTGTGGCCTTCGCCGTCACCGGATCTCAACCCAGTTGAACAGCTATGGGAGATGTTGGAGAAATGTGTTAGACAGCGTCTCCACCACCATCACCAAAACACCACGAGGGAATATCTGTTGTAAGAACAGTGTTCATCCCTACAGGACAGTTCAGAGACTTGGTCAGTGCCAAGTGGAGCTGCTCTGGTGGCACATGGTGCCCCAGCACCTCACTGAGACTGTTGGTTTGTCCTTTCATTTGTCACCTGTCTATTCTTTTGCCATTTTTATGGAAAGCATTCTGTAGCACCAAATGCAGTACTTCTTGTAGTATGTTTTTAAGTAATGCATGCACACGGGGATGAATTTTAGTTGAGCTGAGTCAGTTTATTCTGCTACCTACTGAGTGCCATAAGGTTTCTTCCATTAAAGCAGGGGTGGCCAGTTCCGGTCCTCGAGGGCCGCTGTCCTGCTTGTTTTCCCAACTATCCCTGCCTGACCTGCTGCTGATTACCTGGCTCAGGTGTGTTCAGCCAGTCAGAAGCTGGAAGGCCAGTACTGTCAATGAACTGGGATGTATATGTCAAAGGTTCAGTTAATTCAGTGCTATCAGCCAGATTTGCAAGATTGTCTTCCAATAAATAACTGGTTTCCAGGTTTTTGCATGGTTACTGTTTCTCAGAATAGATGTATGTTTTTTTCAAATCCTGATTACAGTATTTTGTTTAGTCAGTTTAAAAAAAAAATTGTGTAATTTGTTTTCTTTAGATTTTTCTTTTGCACTTTAAGTTGCACTTGGTGTTAAGACATTTTAGTTTCAATAGATGCATATTATTACAGTATTTATAAATTTGCTGATGAACCTAAATGTGAACATTTCTTTTTTTCTGGACTTCAAATAAGCTTGAGACTCTGCAAAGTAAGAGCGTGGCCACTCCCTGTTAACTGCTTCCCTCATACTTTCAGTTATCTCCATGAACAGACAAAAGAGATTCCAGCCACAGCTCACCAGCTTGGCTTACAAATCATTAAGTCACAATCTTTATAAAAATGGGAAACCTAAATATTACACTGTCATCTGAGGCAGCCAGAAGCCCAGTATTATAGATACTGTCTTATAAATGGAAAGGTACAGATTCAATCCTGTAGCAGCCTTGAATCCTGTATAAAGTGTTCTTGAACCAGACCCTGAATTGCTACTGCTTACTCTCACTCCTCTGGATGAAGCATCATCTTAAGATGTAAATGAAAAAGGAGGAGCCTGCTGGGAGCACAAGGACCTGTTTCTAGTGAAGAGCTGGACAGCATGACGCAGCTCTGGAGGATAGAGTCTGCATGCTAACACAACACTGAATGCTGATTGGGCTCAGTAGGCTTGCTGATTTCCACCTGGCATGAAATAGGATTAATATATGTTGGCAAAAATCCTGCTAAATGCCAGTCAGCACTTAGTGTAAATATCACCAAGGACACTCTGATCTAAAAACAGGCTCCTTGTTTTGTTTCTCAAGTACAAGGTGAATCCTTTCTACTCTGAATAGTTTTAACATTAAAAATAAAGCATTGTTTTAGACAGAAATAAATTCTATTTAATTCAGTTCTATTTAATTAACATAGTATAACTTATACTTAACATTATTTCAAAAGTGAAATCTTAACTTGGTTACTTGTCACAAATCCTTTAAAACCACATTATCAGTTTTCATATTGACAGTACTGTCCTAACCAGCAATGTTTTGTATGTCCCTGTGAGCAGATAACAGAAGCTGTCTGGGTTTAGAAAACAGACAGGAACACTCAGTGCCATATGGCCCCGTTTGGTTACCTGACAGCAGGTCAAGTGTCCTGGCGCAGACCCGTCCCCCTGGCCGCCTCTGTGCTTGCATCTCTGCATGAAAAGCTGCAAAATCTGTGTAAATTCCAAACAGATATTATAAAAACTGATAGAGCATGAACATGACACTTTGATCTAACCTATTGCAAAAAAACACCGCATTTCAATACAAGTGTTAAATTTTGTTTCAAAATAAGATGTCCGTCTTTGAAAAGGATAAACGGGTGATCAGGGACAAAGTCAGTGACTAGATACTACAGCCCTCAGCTTCACCACCTCAGGGCCTAATGCTACCCTCTTGTGGTCTTAGTATGATCATAATACATACAGATAGGATTTCTTTGATCTCTTTGTTCTACAGCTACATACAGTATCTTCCCTCATCGGTCTCTGACCACTGTTATGACACCTGTTTTGTCTCCCCCTACCTCTCGTCAGCCCAGGATCATCTCGCCCTCTAGACCCCGCTTGTACTATGTGCATTTCCACACCAAGGCCTGTACTTTTTGAATTTGTAAGAATTACACTTTAGAATAGAGCATTGGGAGTAAAAAAAAAGCTCTTCATCACTGAGGAAGACTGGATTATCAAGGATTCATGACTCCATCCACTTAAAGCAAAGTGTAGCACAGCTTTCATACGACTAATCACATAAAACAGGAATGGAATTATAAAAAATTTTTTTAAAAAGCTAAAAGGAGAAAATGTTCTTTGCAGGAAAATTTGAGCATTTTGATAATTGGAGGTCCATGTCTTACCTTCATCTCTGCAGTGTGCTCCGGGCTCAGCCCATCAGCTCCTCCCTGCACACCTGTCCCTCATTAAGCCCCATTGTCATGCTTTACCTGTCACTTATTTTCTGTACATTTAGACCTTCTGATATTTGCCACCTGTTTGTGACCTGCCTTCATGCATTTGTCCATAAAATGATTCCTGTGTACTAATAATGAACAGATGATCCAGGATAACAAGAATAAGTCCAGTCTAAAATGAAACAAAAGCATAATTAAAAAACTTTTATTGCACCAATGCTTAATCCTTCGATGTTTGTACAGATTTATGTATTTACAGTTTCAGAATTATTATACCTCTAAATAATGATACAACTGAAAGTCTTTTTCTAGTTAATATGTTTAAATATTGCACATGCAAAGTATGTATAGTACTGTATGTGCTTGTCTTATAGATATGCTGTTTTGTTAGCTATGTACAAAGTTACTTAACAAAAATGTGGACTCTGACCACCATGCTACTGAAGAGTGGCTATGTGCACCCCCACAAAAAATTACTTCAGCAATAAATACATGCAACTGCTCTGCAGGGATGGGGATGCTGTGATTACAGTAAAACTGTAACCACAGCCACCAACTCAAATCCTAAAAAAACTAAAAGACTGAGTTCTTCTCAAAGACCAAATATAGAATTAAATATTTTCCAGGTAACCACTACATGACAGTAGTGACTAGCTGTGAATTTGGTGGGAAATTTCCACCAATTCTTCAAGATCCACAAATTAAAATAAACAAAAACACATTTAATCAGTTAACTTTTTTAGATAAAAAAAAAATCTATGACCTACAGTTATGCCCCAAAATATTGGCACCTCTGCATTTCTGCCAGACAACGTACCACACCTCCCATAAAATGTCAATCACAAACTCTTTGGTATTCTCAGGTCTACATGACTGATGATTTTGTCCAGTTCTGTGTGGAATGCATCACATTTGACTTTTTTCCCCTCTGCCTTTTCTTATTGTTCCACTGCAAACAAAAAAAATACATATGCCAAAGAATTTGTGAATGCAACAATTTTATTGGTGAAGCCAATATATTTGGCCATGACTGTAGAAGGTTTTGAAGACGGCTCTTTATTCAGTCTCCAAACGTAATATCGATAAATCTGTGAATGAAACCTTTTACAGGTTTAAAAGGATTTTTTTCTGCCATAGGCAAGAAATCTATTCCTATAAATAGTCTAAATATGTGTTCACATACAAGTGTTGGTCTACCCACAGTGGTGGTAGATTATTATACATTATAGCCTACATAAAAATCCTCATATTTTAACATTAAGTAGTACATTCCTGGACATGTGAATATAATGCTGCCAGAGTCCTTCCCGCCGTCACCATCACACAGTGCTTAGAGAATGAGAAATACATAAATACTGGTGTAACAACAGCATGGACACCGAGCTCACCCCACCTCTAGGTGGCACTGTTGCACAAACCTACAGCCTTCCTTGTCATTTCTTTGTAATGGATGACAGGTACAGTGCAAAAACAAGCAAACCAAATTGTACATTATAGACATACATCTGCCAAAAAATGCCCGTTTGATCTTGTGTTTCCATGTGAGAACAGGGAAAAGCATTTATAGTGTCTTATCTAGTTCACCTCTGCAGAGTTATATGGCTTTGGCCAGAGGAAGCAAAAAGGGCCGTCGCTGCCAGCTCCTGATGTGGTTGAGACGAAGCAGTCCCCTCGGCCTACCATGTCCCTCCATGCACCTCTGAACCCCAGTGAGCAGAAAGCACCATCAGTCATGCACAGACAGATACTGTACAACTTCAGACACGTGAGACACTTAAACGCGGGTCACAGTATTTACAGAAGACACTGACTTGATCGCATGCACTTGATAATAAGGATGTTTCTGGCCCTCAGCTGGGTTTACATGTTGAGATGAAGAGTCAGTGCAGGAATTCACAGCACACCTCAGAGGAAATACAGTGAGTCAGGACAGGACTTGCAATTCTTCAGTGCTGTGAGAAAGCTTGCAAACCCTCAAGGTGTTTTACAGAATTTGCTTCAAAATAAATTAAAAAACATTTTCTTTACCTGCAGTCTATACACTGATTTCTATCACACAACAGCAAAAGCTTCAAAATGAAGAGAAAATATGAGTGGCAAGCACATTGCCAACACATAAGTGGTAAATGGTTTATATCCTGTGTTGCTCAGATTCTATGTTCAGGTTCCAGCTACTGGCTTTGCCCAAAATTATTACATAAATACATTAATTTAAAATAATTTTAATGTAGACGGAAGCACATGATGCACACATCACAACTGTTTTTGAGAGCAACAATTTGTGCAAAAGGATCAAAACTTTTCACAGCACTGGAATAACACATTAAATCAAATCATGGTGACTCAAAGGACAGACAAATCCACCCTGAAACACTCGAACACTGTTAAGTAAACCTCCATTGGTGCAGACGTACTGTATCTTTCATCTCAAGTCAGTTTGGTGTATTCTTTTTCTTCCCACAGATGACTGTCCATGATGTAGCAACACATTCCCAACTAAATCTGAGTAAAGCAGATTCTGTAACAGGACACAGGAATGTCTTCTTTGCAGTCTGAACATTAGCTGAGAGAGAAGATCCAAAACCAAACTTTGAGGTGATGGATTTTTTTCATGAATATCACAAGGCCAAGACATAGGTCTGGAATTAGCATTTACCATTTTACTCTCCTGGCTGCTTGGTTTGTACAGTTGATGAACTGATGCTAGCACCTCATACCAGCCCACAGATGCAGTAGCTGAAAAGAGAAAGCTGAAGAGTTGAAGTATCGTAGCACCACGAGAGCTCCAGGAGCTGTGGCCTGACACGAACAGCTCTGCCATCATCCATCCAGGAACTAGAACAGCTGGGATCCCTTCCTCTCAGTCCCTTTCACAGCCCTGGTAGCTCGACAGGTGATAGGTCTACAGACACACAGCACATCTCATCTACTGGAAAAGGGAACAGCTCTGAACTCCTGCACTCTTTTTTTATTGCATTTGGGAAACAGAGTGGACAGAGTATTATATGTAATGTCAGCCCTTGAGTGTCCCTGTCAGAATAAAGAGGGAGGAGTCCTACATGACTCCTCATGCTGGCTTCATGGTTTCATTGGATGTCAGGGCAAAGAGCTGCCCCCTTGTTCAAAAAAAAAAAAAAGTAAAAAATGGATTATGTCACTGATTATTTTGAAGTGTTATTCCTTGTAGTTTTTGTCGTAGCAACAAAAATATGACCTCACCCTGAGGCATGCACATGCAGGCTGGCCCGCTCACAGTGGGCACAGCTATTCCATGCCGTTTCTCAGCATCTGATTGGCTGCAATGAGCATGACGCTGATGATGAATGCCATGGCAAAGGCGCAGATGAGGCTCTTCCTCACACACGTCTGACGGTTCTTCTTGGAGGGGTGAACTGAAAGAAGTGAGAGGAAGACGAACAGAAGAAAAGTTACTAAAGTGCCACTTTTGTTTCAGTCATATCTTTGAATTTATCTTTTTCAGTGCTAAGAGAAAGAATATAATGAAGACCAACAGGACGTGCAATGACACAAAGCACATTTCGAATGGTTTATTTACACTTTGGAGTGTTTACTCCTTTAGTTTGTCAACTGCTCTCCCTCCAGGGGACAATAATGCCGTTCAAACGTAAATAACAAACTGCACTAAGATGCCTAAAAATGCAAGTAACAAAACAACAATCTGCCAACTGTCTTCCCAGTAAACACGCCATAAAGCTAATAGGTCAAGGTGACTCTTATTCACAAATCCTGGTCCATGTTTCACACAAACACACCAGATTTTACACGGTGATCAGATAAAAGACAAACTTGAGGTGTGATCTCACATCAGTACTACCAGGCAGAATTAGCAGTTTTTACATGACACAACCAAGACATGTTTGTCAGATTTCGAAAAACACCCATTTACATAGGTTACATAAAGATATACACGTAGCTGCCAGTTTATTAGGTACATCTACTGTAGCTAAAGCTGATGCAATCTAACCATGATCGTTGTAATGCTCAGTTTTTGTGGAAATCATTTTGGGGAGTGTCTTGTCCACCCATCTTAAGTACAGTATATTGAGAGCAGACTACATATTAGAAAAAGTGCTTCCTGAACATCACTTGCATACGCCATACAAAAATCCACCTCAAGACTATATATTTTGTCTCCATACTCCCCCTTAAAGATGAAAGATAGTGTAGTGCATCTAAATGACAGCATGCCGAAGTTGAGACCATCATCTACAAATCTAAGCTGACACACGTTCACACAACAGCAGTTCCTCTAACAGATTATTTTCTGGCTCAATCAACCTCTGGCACCAACGAGTAACTCAACAGCTCTTCCTCCCTGCAGTGGGTCGGTGGACTGTGAGTAGCTGAGATGATTTTACCAGGCTGCGGTAATTAGGGGGGCTGGGCCAATGACCCACAGCCAAAAGGCTCACTCTCCAACTAGCTATATTTTTAACTCAAGAAGCACTGACGTCATCAAAAATGCTGTTCCACGAAAAAAAAAAAAAAAGCCATGTGGAGAGTAGTGCAGAAATTGTTACATCAATCATGGCTAAGGTGTTGAGGTAGTGTCATCAGTTGGAAATCTCCAGCTGAAAAATACCAATCTGGACTCTCACATAATAAAGCAAGACATTGTTTTTAGCCAGATGCATGAATGAGCTTTTAGCCAATTACCATGGATATGTAACTTTACACCGGATGAATGTTAAGCCTGGTTTCTGTTTGTAAACAAGCCATACTAAGTAATCTGCCTCCCCTTTAACTCGACTTTAACCAGGGTAGTCTCACCAAGGACAAATCTCTTTCAGGGACAACTGGCTCACACAGATTCACACCTTGAAGCTGCCTCATAGAGGCACAGTCTCATTTGCACAAAAGCAGTGGAAATTCAGGAGCAGGGAGACGCTCTCTCGGATTTATCCTGCAAGAGCACGTGTTCAGCTGCTGGCAGCACTTAGAAATGGGAGGAGAGTTGTGGTCTGGACATTAGTTGTCACTCTAGTTGCCTGAACCCGATGTCAGCCTCATTAAACACCTCAGCCATTTAAGTAACTACACCACTGCCAAATACCCACAAAGGATTTTCTTTGCTTTACCACTGTGGTCATGAGGGAAATGAAGCCTACTCTGCTTTTCACACTGCTGATTTTTTTTGGCAGGTGCAAATTCAAATTCAGCATCAATTGGATGCTCAGTGATGGGAAATGGTAAGATTTGAAAAACATGGCAGTATCAGAATAAAGGAAGGGCATGCCTGGCTGCTTGTAAAGTGCACAAGAATAGCTGAAGATGAAGAGCCAGTTTGGGATTTTCTCCAAACGTAATAAAGAAGATTTTTGTAATGTAAGCAGTCGATGAGTTGCAGTTGAGTGCAAAAAAGTCTGCTTGTTAAGACCACACATTTTTAAATTGTACAGGCTTAGAGCAACTAATCTTAATGATATGACAAATGATTCAAACACACAAACCTACAGTGTTCAAGAAATGTATTGAGGCAGCTAACAGGGATCCCATGTTTATCCGTCTCTGTAAGTGACACGAGGTCGACAGCTGAGGTCTGGGTATTAGGGTAGAGAATATATTATAGATCTAGCCACATATTTCTGTCTGAACTTGACCCGAGCCCGAGAGCGCGCTGTCCAAACTAGACACAAACCTGAGAAACATGTATTTCATGTCTGAATCCCCCAAGCCTGACACAGTTGAGCCTGTGCAGTGTTTTTTTTTATAGTGATTCATGTCCATTTCATAATTCCAAATATTTACAAGGGTCATTCTGCCCATTTAGCCTAAAGTTTGACCAACAGGGACTGAACCCGAACATGATTTTTAAGTTTTTCTCTGAACCCGACCCAAATCCTCGAGTATCGATGGGTCTCATCGGATTCATTTCAGGTATCCACCCTTTACTGGGATATAAAAAAAATCATAGTAAAATCTTAGAGGATCTGTTGAGTAAAGGCATATTTTGTTTATTTTTTGCAAGTCAAAAACACTAACGAGTTTCATTCAATGCAGGATCAGATTATTCTTTAACTGACACTAGAAATGTTAAATGTTACATGCATCTGGTGCTCCAAAAGATTTGGTTGTGCTTAGAAGAGCAATAGTTTTACATATATGATAAAGTCAACAGTTATGACTACATGATGCAAGTTCACATAACAAACGTGCACAATAAGAACAGTAAAATAGTGGCCCTTACGTCTATACATTTTTATAGCAAAGTTGATTTCCATGCATCTATCTGCCAAGCACTTTCTGCACAGCTGCTACACCAGCAGGTTTCCCTGCACTTTCCGCCACTGGTGCGAGCTGTTCAGAAATGAACCAGTGCCTGGAAAACATCTATGGATTGGTGACACTCTTTGCTCTGTTGTGTTTCAGCTCCACACCAGATTGATTCCAGAAGAGGGAAGCCAGAGGGAAATCAGGTACCTCTTGTGCTACCTCATCTATCAGAAAGCTGACGCAATAAGTAACAGTAGCATGATGAATTGCACTCACATGGATCACACAACACAACACAATGTCATGATTTCTCTGTGGCTGAGCTCATTTTGGTGTCCCTTTGTGGCATCTGGTACTGATTGTCCTTAGTGCCAACATATGTGACTGCAGTGGTCTGTTTCACCATGAACCCAGAAGAAACACCTTGTTGTCGTCACTCCACACAATTTTAAGACCCTAATAAGGTGCTGGTGCAGTCATGTCACCAACGCCAGTGCCAGGCCAGTAAACTCCCTCTAGGATGGGACACGTTCACAGGCAGGGGGTGGCTAGTAAAATGGGACATTAATGGATATTGGCCAATGAGCATCATAATTTTGAAGAGAAACACAACCTGGAGTACAAACACAGATCTCAAAGCATAGGAATTTCACACAATGTGTTATTAATGGCAGGTGAGGGCAATCTCACTGCATAACAAAACAGACTAGAGTCCTGTTCGACCATGCTGCCTTCACGATATGTGGGAAATAGTAACATTGTGACTCAGCATTTCCTACGCTCCAACCTCATGTGTAAGGTGTCAGGACAAGATGGATACCAGCGAGAAAGTTCAATTTTATGGCTTTCTTCAGAGCACACATGGCATCAATCAAGGTACACAAGTAAACAGTAATGCCACATAATACAGACTGACATTCATGTTTTCCTACTGTAGCTAAACCTTAATGTGAACGCTGCATAAACACAGATGTTAAGGTGGAGGTCTTGTATTGAGTTGCATACATTTGTACCTTAATAAAGCTGCCAGCCAATGTATTTAGAGAGTGAAAAAGTCCTATAATACCCTGATGTCCATTAATCTTGGCTAGTTTTGCACAGTGAGATCAGGCATACTTCATCTGTGCCACTTCTGAACAGGTGACCAGCTGATGTTCATTTCCAACAAACAACCCAAATCAATAATTCAGCAGATGTGCTGTGATTCTGGTGGTTGTAAAGTTTGATGAGAAAGCTATAATTCTTTCTGACAGCCTTCTTGCTCATCACACAGCACACAAAAACACAGTTGCCTAAGTGCCTGTGTGTGAAGTTAGCTTAGGAACATTTGCTCACCTCCCTCAAATTCTGTCTGACAGTTCCCAGCATTTTCCTTCAGGCTCTCTTCCTCATTGATGATGATGTTCTCAATGTCCTTCATGGTCAGGTGGTCACGGAAAGCATAGAACAGGATGTGTTTCAGCTCCTCCAGGGTGATCCTTTGCATGTCGAACTGCAGGAACAAAGAGGTGAGAGGAGGAGATTTTGAAAAAAGAGAGAGACCATTTTCCTTTCACATACAATAAACAAACGGTGTGTGCTTCTGCAGGATTGAGTACCAACAAGTACCAACTTGTGTACAAGTCACAACTCTTCCGCAATTTCAGGACCAGTGTCCAAGCTTCAATACAATAAAGGCTTTGCTGACAACAACTTAAAATGAATGGCACACAGCACAGAAAAAGCTAATATACTGTATATAAATCATCTTGGTGTTTAGTATGAGGGAAATGCAGAATAAAAAGTATCATCAGAAGTGACATTAGATAATGGGGGAGGGGAGGTCTGTGACTTAACTGGACTTTGGAAAGACAAGGAGTGATAATTCAAGATGTCTCGGTCTGTCATGACCTCAGTAACAGACCGAGGTGAAGGGAAGTGCACTGGACAAACATACAGTATCTATGTGGATACAAGGTCCGTCTATGGTTCTTAACAGTGAGCATTACATTGGAAATACATTTTTTCTCCTGGGTTGTATAAGCAGACAGAAAGCAGCTCCAGTGTTGTCAAGAGACCAGCTGGTGATTAGAATGATGAAAATACAGCCTCCACATTTTTACATCCATGCATTCAGGAGAACAGAGATATACATTTACTGCTGTCAGCTCCTCTGTAAAACTCCACTTTACACCACTCCTATTCTTGATTTCAATTTTCAGAGTGCATTTGTAGCACTCAGCAATATTGAGATTAAGAATGTAAATCCAGAGAGAGGAGGAAGGCCAACACTCACTGGGCTTCCTGGCAGGCCTACTGCATAGATAATCACAGAAATCAGTGCACAAATCCCTTAAATCACATTTACCATCAATACCATTTGCTCTCTCTCCAACTGACAGTGAGCTAATAAACACTCACACCAGCCACACCTCAAATGTTAATCAGACTCCATCAAGATTTATTATGGAGGCTAATTAAAACTTCAGCGTTGTATCTTTTATTTACTGGGTCGTTAAGGAGAAAATAAATGTTGGCAAGACATAAGCTAAATATAAAAAGGTATACAGGAAGAGAGTCATAAATCACACATGTTTTAGTAAAACATTTTGCATTGGAGCAGAAGGAACCTTATTCCATATGTTGGCTGTATAAACGCCCACATCTAAAGGAGGACACACTGAAACGGCGTGTGAATCATAACTCGGTTCTAAATACTGCAACAATGACTACTACTACTACTACTACCGCTACTACTGCTACTACAAATTAACCTCCTCTTACTGTACTACTTTTATTGCATCCATTACACTTACTGCACATATTTATTCATTCATCTCTTTACTGTTATTTAATTTAATTTGACTTATGTCTCTGCACAGTGCTTTGTGAAAAATGTTTAAAAAATGCAGCTATTGATACAAGAACTATAACCACTAGCTCTTTTTTTAGAAGGGTTGAGCTTATCAGCAGCTGTACTACAAGGTAATGAGCCATGATATTGAGAAGTCTTGCATTGCTGGCTAAACTAAAGCCCACAGATCCAAGAAACACACACCATAAAATTCAGGAACTACAGTGCGAGTGTCAAACTCACAGTATTTAAACTTTATGATGCCACCACAACCTTAAATCAAAAGATGTTTTAAAAAGACTATATTCAAGTGAATATGTTCCGAAGGCAATAAGCTGCAGCACACTTTTATAATAACAATCGTCATCATGTCCCCAGACCTCAACATTCATAACCACAACTATACAAACTCTCCAGCTAACTCACGAGGCCTCCAAGTACAATTGTCTAATTCCAATCATGAATTAGGCAATTGTAATCATGTGCAACAGCATAAAACAGATGTTCTGTTTTCTCTTTTACAGATTACATGTCTCACAGACAATAGCTCTATTTATTTCTCCACTCATCTCCCTCTAGGGAGCAGAGAAAGAATGAAATGCTAACCAGGCCTAAACAAACATATCCATCTGGAACTATCATCTGCCACTTAGCCGTGTCACTTCTCCCAAGGGAGATGGGTCGGTAGCCTAATTGTGTTTTCCAACCTCTGCACAACTTTGCTGTGTCCTGACAACACTGTTGCTGGTGGACATTAAAACACTTCATTTTCCAGGAAGCAGGGACAAGCTGGAGGACACGTTCATTCACTGAGCATTACAGCTGCAGATAAGAAAAAGCCATTTTATTTTCTCTTTCCACATCCCACTGATTATAGTCACATTCAAGTGTGAAGTGACCTTTATGGAAGAAACATGGTGAAAGAAAAGCAAGTCTGATGCCCCTGGATTTATGTGACTCCTACAGCAAAGATCTTGAGCAGGACACCCAGTGCTGTGTGACCTACACTTTTATACTGAACCCCATGCATGCGCAGAGAGGAAACCTTCAGTAGTCCTTTGTCACACAGTCTTCACAGCAGTTCAGTCTGAAGTGTAATGACAGTGCCTCCAGCACAGGGGCTTTCAGAGAAGCCTCTGGAAAAGTTGAAAATGTCACCGTTATGACCTGCTGCGGTTAAAGGAGCCTTGTGGCGCAATGACAGAGAGTCCCTGACAGAGTCATGTAAGTGACAATGGGGAGTTGTGCAGTCATGGAAATCTCGCTTCTCTGAACTGATTAATGTGCATTAAAAGCAATTTCTGCAGCAGCAGCAGCAACAGCAACAACAACAACGATACACAAACTTTCAGTGCCTAAAGAGACTAAATTTTTGTTGTCAAAGTGAATTTTTAAACACACAATGAGGGGAGGTTGTATATTAATGATAAAAATGCCAGTTTTTTTGTTTTACACCCATAATATTACCTGACCAAGTTTGGCAACAGTTGGCAGGAATGATATTTGGCCTGCTTAGGCTTGAATCATTTGAATAGAATGACAAAATGATATTTACTGCTTGGTTTTTAATGACAAACCGGACAAATGGTCAGTTTTTATCACTTTTGTTAAAAAAAAAAAAAAAGGTACAAAAAGTTTTCCACATTTTATAATGTTTATTAAAGAAGCCAGG